TTCTAGTCCTACCCTACTGCGGTAATGCAGTGAAAATGGTTAGCAAAAACCTTGCAAATCATGCAGTGATGAGATTTTGGTGTTGGATGAAGGTAACAACTTCTACCTGATAAGTCTGAGTATTCTCATTACCTGTTTGCTGGATCATGTATGGATATTATAGGGAGAGGTTACATGTTAATCACTTCTGGGAGTTAAACTGTAAAAACATCTATGAACCATGTGCTGTTGAACTGGTAAAATTGAAGAACAGCTCCCCAAAATATCTGTCGGCCAACTGTCGGCGAACAAAACACAGAAAACACAATGAAAACAAATTCAGAAATGAGTAAATAGACTGTCATCTTGGTAAGTTTGAACTTTCACAATTACCTCAAAATGAATTTTGATGAACACCACATGATAGAGGTAAATTTCGAGTGCAAGGCATTATTGGCCATATCGATTGTCATTTATGAGAACCTGATGCATAGTATCTGACTGACCCATTTCGTTCCGCTGAAATTGGAAGAGTTTACTTACTTAGATTTAGCAATTTTTACGAGTAAATGTTTTCAAAGACTCACAAAATTGCATGAGCCCGTGTTTTCGTTGTGTTTTCTGTGTTTCGTTCGCCAACAGTCAGCGAACAGATATTTTGGGGAGCTCTTCTTCAATTTTACCGTTGAACTTGTAGGAGCTGAAGCAGAAGCCCTATGGTTCATACCCTGGACTCAAGGTTGCAAGGTCTGGGTTGAAGAGCTGACCAGGTCATAATGATGCATTTCCAGTGGCGATTAACATGTAACTTCCCCCTTTTATATCCATACGTTATCCAGCACACAGGTAATGAGAATACTCAAACTTATCAGGTAGGAGTTGTTACCTTGATTGAACACCAAATTCTTGTAAGTAATTTACCAGGAAATGTGTAGCAGCTAGAGGGTGGAAATAACAATCAGATCTTGGAAGTTTAAGGATTATATCTTACTGTTAACTGTATAGGGAAACCCAGTTTTTGCACACAAACAATTTCAAGATTCAAAGTTTTAATGAAGAAATATAAGTAATATTGTAAAGGGATGTTAACTGTTTCATCATAATACAGTAATGCTTTGAACCTGTGCAGACTCCTCCGAACAGGTGTCAACTACTACCGGCTCCATAGCCCATTGCAGAAATGTGAGAGGACTGGGACGAGTTTCTTATATTGATTACATTGAAAATCTAAACATTTCAACTGAAATGTTACTGAATGAAAAGCTACCCAGTCACGTTTGAGAGTTCTCAGCGGAAGTGTCCAAATCGGAGCCTTGCAAAAGTTGCAAAAATTCCATACAAACCCTTAAAATTTTTTGCCCCGTCTACCCAATTCATGCAAACTCTCTATTTTAGGTGATATTTGAAAAGCTGTCATTTTGCCATTTTCCTCCTCTAAATACTTCTATTCTTGCTTAAGACTCTCAAATTTAGTTGATCTTTCATTTGAATATCTTAGTTTTTCAAACAAATGGAAAACAACCACACTCTTTCCCAGTCCTCTCACGTTTCTGCAATGGGCTATACAAACAACTCATTCATGACATTAAAATTACAAACAAACTGAGCAGAACAACTTAACTTTACCAACAGATCCAAACAGACCAATCACAACTGACTTGTGTCACTTGAGTCTTACAGCCAATCACATCACAACAAAACTGACCAATCATTTAACACCAACTGGACCAAATACATTCTACTGACAACAACTATTCACTTTACTCTGATGATGACTTCCGCACAGGTTGTCGAAAAGTCATTCACCACCACCGACAACAGTTCTTCTCAGGACTACACTCACCCGGACAATCACACTACACTTTCACATGTTTCACCATAGTACTTACCACCCTTTGGTCCTCCATAAACTTAGCAGCTTTTGCATCCTGTTTTTCTTGCAGCCTTCTTCTGGCATCCTCCATTCTTTCCTGTTGACTGGCTGCTTTTATTGGGTCTAGAGAGTGCAAACTCTTGATAAATCAGAGATCATTGATATTTCAAGAAAAAATCAACCCTTTGACTGAAAGAGTGACTCTTTAGGGTGGCCAATTCAAATTATCAACTCAGTTGATAAAACCAGATTACCTCAGTATTAGCCCACACCAATACAATGCCACAGTTTCCTTAGAAACTTACCCCCCCTTGTTCATTTATCTATCTGTCTGTCTGAGAAAACATTCTCTGTGTTTCCTGGAGTCTACAGTCTTTTCACATTTCTGAATTGATAATGCATAATGTTCAGTTGAAAAGATGACCAACGCCAAACGTACAAACAAAAATGTTTGTGTAACCTCTGCTCTAAGTGAGACAAATTATCCTACTCACCAAAGTTTGCGATTTCTTGCTGTCTTTCCCACTTGTTCTGTAGTTCTTTCCAGTATGGTTTCAGTTTGCTCCACAGGAATACCAGGATGACAAGTCCAATGACAATAAGCCAGCCATAACGTTCCAAGAACCCCACACCTGTTAGATTGTACAATATCCCAATAATCAACAGGAAGAGTTCATTTAAAAACTCTTAAAATCTTTAATTTCTACCATTAAGAAGGGAAATATTCCGTAAAGCAGTAGTTATTTCCGGTTTTATGGTTTTCTGGCATATTATTTTATTCTACTATTTCACCAATATGAAAATATACTCTTAGTGCAGTTCAACATACTCTAAAAAAAATGAAAATTCATTTTTTGAAGGTAGCTGGAGAGCCGAGACAAAACAACAGACATTTTAGTCCAAAAAGGTTTGTGAGTATCGGGCATTTTTTAAAAGTTATTCCACGGTTTCTAGCTTTAAATAAAACAAAATATGCAGAACTGTGAAAAGCGACACAATGTTTGGCAAGATTTCCGTATAACCCCATACTTCATTATGCATCCAATTATGTTAGCTCACCTAAATAAAACGTATCTACAAGAAATGTTGGAGTTGAATTTTCAAGCGGTCTTGACTTTGGATTNGCCAGGGGGGCCGGAGTCTCCCGCGTCCCGTACCATGCTCTCCCGCCTCCCGTACGTGTGTGCTCCCTTGCCTCCCGACTCCCGCCCCCCATTCACGATGTTGCTCCTGTCTTCAGGTTAATCAAGAGGATGAGAAACCCGGGTTTAACTTTCAAACAGAGCTAAAAGTTAATATTCATGTTCATTTCGGCTGGCCTTTGTTTTGTCTAGGGATCATTAGTTCCCGATGAAAGCCACTACTGGTCAGTTTTCTTACTGAACTAAGTTTTACTAACCGGGTTATCACAGTTTGATCGTCGCTATTGACACTGATCTCGTCGGTTCTGTTCTGGTGTACCGGTTCACAAGAGAATTACCATTGTTCTGTCTTTGTTTAGGAGTCATTGGTTAGCTGTCGTGTATTGTTCGGTCTTTTGTATCGGCTCTTATGAACTGGTACACGATGACAGAACCGACCTCATCGTAGAGACGAAAGTCTCAGCTCAATATGTGAGCAATTACCGATTCAAAATCAAATGAAAAAATCAAGAAGTAGACGTAACGTTTAGAGTTTGCTTCTTCTGTATTCGTGCTTGCTTTCCCTTATTGACGTAATTAGAACTAAGTATTAGTGGTTACAACATCAATTGCTGAACTGTGGGTGCCCTCGAAAGTCAACTCGCATTTGAAGGAGTTTCGTTGTTATTCGCAAGAAAAAGAGAAATGTTAATCCTGGGATCTGGCTTAGAAGTAGCAAATCTTCTTGAGATAACAACTTAGTCGCCTTAAAATACACGGATGGGCGAAGGATTTCATGGATCTGACTAACGTGTCAGGATAACAACTTGGCGTTAACTAGCACGAGTTCACACAAAAAAAGTAGTGTAACCGCTGACCACAAATGCTCATATCCTTACTACGGCGCTGCTGTAGTGACATGAACCGTTTGCATTTTGAGCCTTCAGTTTAATTGCTAGTGAAGCATGATTGAACGGTCTTGTTCGACCGATTATCAGATTTGTTCGATGGGTTTTAACCTTTGCGGTTAGAAAAAGTCTTCCATGCGCCGGGGAGGCCGCACTGACCTCTTCCTACTCCAAATTTTGGTTAGAGCCTCTTCTTCCCGCGAGTCAAGATAACATTCTTGATTTTCTTCAGTTTCATTTGTTTCTAAATCACATTCCCCTTGGCAGTCTGAAAGGATCTGGCAAAATCTTTCTTCAGTTAGCCCTAAACGACCGTTGAATAATCGTATCGAATCTTCACCAGTTTCACAAATAACGTCACTTTTCTTGCATTTTGCTTCTTCGCTAGGTGTTTCGAAGAGAAAACAGCTTTCATCTATTATGACATGTTTAGTACCAAAGAAATCATTTGCGTCTATCGCACGTGAAATGAATAAAGAGAAAAAGTTGGATTTGCATTTGACTGCGTAAATTCCAGTATGTGATGACTGATTCGTCTTGTGATCATACCCAGGCAAGGGTACGGGCTCTACATCGTTTCTATAGTTAGTACCTGATTAATCACTTTCTTTGTTGGAGATTTTCGACAGCTACAACTTACCAGACACTGTACATTTCATGCTATCTCATGACCAATGACGTAATCAAGTTGAAGTGATTCACAATTTACCGGAAGTAATGTTGTTTTTCCAGCCCGGGTACAAATTTACGTTTTCTTGCCTCCGAAAATGTTTTTAAGCATTGGTAGAAGTTAACTGGAAATAAGT